CCAGATTCTTTTCTGGCTTATGCATCTGTAAAAGGATTATTACCTAAATCAACACATACAATTTCTATTTTTTGATAGAGGAGCCAGAAAGAATGTTACTTATTTTCTGGATGATAGTTGGAAAATTTTATTTTTATTTGTGAGAAGACCAGACCTGAACTAATTGAAAGAGCAGATTTGGATCAACAGAAAAGACATCACTCTATAGAGGTCATATTTAGAGAAAAGAAGTTATATCCAACAACTTTCTATGGTATTTCTCAAAATACCACTTGAATGCAAAGGAAACTTAGTCAGAAAACTTTGCTAATAGTGAAAACTCCTGATTTTTCAAAGATCACCACCAACGCTAGGATGTGTATTCCCTCTGTAGGCAGCTAAGACCAGCAAAGAGTTTTTGCTCCCTGGTCTGCCCTGAACTGCTCCTCAGGATTTTCCTACTGAGTTGCATTACTGGATCCCCCTCCTCCCTGCCAGTGGGGGCACTGCTTGTGGGAACATCTGCCAAATGCACAAAGAAAACAGAACCGAGTTACCAAAGTCCTGCTATTTAATCTATCAGAAGTCATGAAGTATTTTTGACACATGTGGCTTATGGAGTTCTCAACTGTACGTCCAGCTGGGCATAAGCTCAGGGTGTTGGCTCCCTTCACCAGCACAGCTGGATCTGCTACAGGACATCTGCCCATGATTCAGTTTAGGATGCTTCATAGTGTAGAGCATCTGCCTATACCAGTGTCATTCTCAGCTTTTCTAACGGAAATATATTTTAAAAGAGAAAAAGAACCACCATAGGAGCAGCAGAGTATTTCAGAGATGCCAATTTCCCAAGAACAACAGTTTTAAAGAGCAGAAACATTAAGGAAGTTGCATCATGCTTATATATGATTCACTTATTTAAAACCAATTATCAGCAGGGAAAAAAAAAAAAAAAGAGAAAAAGGATGATATCCCAAGGCAGCAGAAAGGAAATCAAGTGTATCAAAGCTGTTTCTGAGCTCCCTTTACCTACCTACTTGGCAATGCTGACTTTCGAAATTATACTACACCATTCATTTTTACTTTCATGATGCAAGGAGAAAAGGAAGAAAAAACTCCCCAATCTTACCCCCTCTTTTTACTAAATTACCTTAAAAACAGATCTGCATTGTTACTTCAAGGTTACTAATGTTAGTACTGTATATATTTATAGATGAGGTATTCCTTTCTGTCTGAAGCACATGAGGTAATAAGTAGCTGGAATTGTCATGGTGATTTATTAACATATTCTCTAGGAGAAGCCCTGCACCTGCATCTGTGCAGACAGAACACCCACGAAGGCTGAACTCACCCCTACACAGCCCACAAGATCTTAAAAGGAAATGCTCCAAATTTAGACCTGCTCCAACAGGTGTCTTTTACTGTTTCACTTTGCATGACCATAAATATCAGAGGTGGAGCAAAAAGCTCCCTGTCCATTGTAATCGTGCTTTGAAAACAAATACCTTTGCCCCCTCCCAGAGCAGAGGCAGCAGCTATGGAATTCTCATCATTTCCTCACTCCTTCATCCTGTCAAGACCCAAGTCAGAGAGATGTCACCGGCAAAACCAGGCTCCAGGGATGAGCACATAACTTTATTTTTTTCTCTTCAAAGGGCCCTAAGCTGGCTCTGAAACATCCCCAAACTGTATTTCTTTCATTCTAGTATCTCATCTTGCAGCTATTTGCCAAAGTGAATGACATGCACAGGCTGTTCATGGCTTTTTATAAGCTCTCATTACCCAAACAGGGAACCATTTCCTTGAAAATGCTTTCCCCAGCAGCATTAGTCTCTCTAGGCACCACCAATAAATTTGTCTTTTGGCTCAGCCCCTTGCACTCCAAAACGTGCCTGAATAGATGTATTTGATATTGTTTTCCACTTGTTTACTGAGGGAGGATGCTACCTGTGGGACTTGTCATCAGGGTGATTAACAGCACAGGGAAAATAAAAGATAATTTTGCCGGCCAAGTTGAAAGCTTTGCCAGACTTGCTCTGGCAAGCAAAGAGCCAAATCCAGACTCCTTTCTGTGGTGTAACAAGGAGATGCAATCCCAAACCCAAAATGGCTATCCATGACTTACAAAACCACAACACAAATCAAAATAACTAATCTGGAAAAGAAATCCTAACCAAACTGAGAAAGAGAATAACAGGTTACACCATGAGCTTAGAAATTCCACTAAAATGTTTCATTCTGTAACACTTCCACTACAAAACACCCGGGTCAAGAGCAAATAAATATTTAATACTCAAAAGGTACTCAGGAGAAGGTGTGTTTTCCCCTCTCCCTCCTCACCAGCTGCTCTTTTATGGCAGGAAAGTGAAGAGCATGAAATCCAATGATAGGAAGAAGGCAAAGGTCAGGAAAAAGGTTTTACTTCAAGGATTTAAATTAGCCTTCTACAGTTTTGTGTGTTTTGTCAACACAACTTCCCTCCTGTGAGGAGGGGAAGCCAAAGGGCCTTTGAACCATTTCTGTATGGGGTCTAGATTTTTACCAGTAACAAGATTCCTAGCTTTAAAGAAAAGCTCATCTTCCCTCTTCCCATTCCTTTCACCACTCCCTCCCTGTCCCTCCTTCCACTCCCCTCCTTAAAAAGAGACAGGAAAAAGAAAATAGACAAAGGATCTGAAGAACAAAACAAGCACTGGAGGAGTTCTAGAGTTCATGTAACGAGACCACTATAGCCCTTCAAAGGGACCATTAAAAGCAAAACAAACAAAAGCAACACCCTCAAGATGTCTATTGTATTTTACAGAGGAACAAATGAGTGTACTGGAAATTCTCCCACCATCTTGCCACAAAGTCTGTTGTTTCATCAAAACAAAGTCCAGAGATCAAGAAACAGCCAACATGGCAGCTGAAAGTCAGTCACATCAAATGATCCATGAAAAAAATGAGAGAGGGCTTACTTTTTTTTGCTTTTTTTTTCTCTTTCTTTAGTATGATGAATTAAAAAAGACTTCAAAGACTGTTTCAAGAGTTGCTTTTGTTTCTCACATGAGAAAATCAGGGGTTGAGCAGGTCTAGACAACTCAGTGGTTAAAACATCATTAGCTGCCAACACTTTGTCTTCCTAGAGCTCCCACAGTTGCTGTTACCCTGGATTTGCCTGAAATGAAATTACTTGATTTCCATATATATTTTGCTTCCCTCAGAGCTTCCCAAAGATGGCAGCTGCAGGACAGAGAACACACAAACATCCACAGTTGGTGGTTTCAGCTGTCAGAGGCTCATCCACATGGGTACTGACCCAATACTTCTGCTTGATACTTCAAAGCATTATTTTTATTCATTTTTTATTATTTGTAACACTTAGCAGATCTCTTTTTGTTCTTCTACACTATCCTAGCATCTTTGGGCTTTACTTGGAGGGTGGTAACACTTTACACTCGCTTTCATAGCTGTGCATGTAAGAACTACAGGGAGACAGACAGATTTTTATCCCATCTGTACATCATCAACACTCCATTCACCAAATCCCAAACAGTAATGCTTAAGATCTGCTGAAGACAATATAACTGAACAGGTGCTACTGAGGGCAAAGTTTAGCCTGCAGGATAAAGCCTGATAAATTTAGCTATAGGAATGAGAATCCTCTGGTTAAATGAACCTGTAAAATCAGGGGTCAACTAAGATCACATATGTTACAGCAATTTCTAAATCATTATACCACAGCCACCCTCTAGTGCCAGGAGGAAGCCATAAAGACAAGCTTGTCACTAACAGTAGATAAAATATTCCTCCCCTAGCCCAAAATAGATCTATCAGTCTTCATGTGCACAAACCCACAGAATGCATCAGTGATGAATTTCCTACTCCATACAAATCAGCTGCTGTGTATGTTCAGAAGGCTTGCCTGGAGCTTGGTCCCTGCCATGCCCAAGATAAGCCCAGGAGAGCGCCAGTGGAAACATGCTGGGACAGACTCCTTCCATTACAACAGTTAACAGAACCCACTCTTGATCACCTTCCTTCTAGGATAATCCTTAAACTCAGGCAGAGGAGGTGTCATCTTTCCATGGGCACAGAGCATCTCCCTCACATCTGGTAGCGGGATGTTCAAGGAAAGATTACACTGAGCTGTGGCCTACAGCACACACCAGAGGCATTTTCACAGCAGAGATTTATCTGAGAGCAGGCCCCAGATGTCTGCATCCTTGACTTAAAAGGTCCACATGGATGAATTCCCAGATCTCAAATGGCTGTTCCACAGGTGTCTCATCTCACAGAGGTGAAAGTCTGACTGTCAGCCTGGGACGAACTACAAAGGTTGGCCTCTCAAGGAGCCAACACAGCTCTGCACAGAACACGTCAGACAACGTGTGCCTGAGAAAACTAAAATCACTGTACTGGAGAGCATAAAGAACAAGTCATCTTTCCTTCTCCTACTAATGGATATGAATTACACAGTGCAGAAAGCTCAGCTTGTCTGGCATATTTGATATATTTATCCAAGTCCCCTGTGAAGTTTAATGGTGGCTATAAGCACGGTTTCTGTAATGAATCTTTTGGGGCCGAGAAAGACAGCTGAGATTTTGTGCCTTAAATGCGTAAGAGGGTCATGAAATCCTGAGAGCCTCTCATGGACACTTTGCAAATCCATTTGGGACTCAACCAATGAGACTAGCATTTCATTTATGGAATAGGACCTATTCATTTATAGGCCTAACACTTCACAGTCTCTGAATCTAAACTGTATCTGACCTATTGCAATATAGGTTTCCTTTCAAGAAGAGTTACCTTTTCATGCATTTTTTTTCTTTCCCTGGATTTTTCCTAATAAAGGTATAAGACAAGCCTATCAGTTGGTTCCAATGATGTAACAAATAATAAAATACTGCTCCCAGAATATTGCAAAAGTGGCTTTTCCTCTTCCCTTCTCATCCTACTTAGTCTTTAACCATCTCTCCTACTACACAATTATTTTATCTCATCCCAAATTCAGTTTCTATTACAAGGACCCATGAGCTTACTTCTGAAGGATGGATCTTTTAATGACAAGTTCTTCATCCAAGTCAGCTTCATTAGCCATGAAGAGCAATCTTTTTCCTGTGTCATCCACTCCAATGAAGTCGCGCTGCTCCACTGAAGTAGAAAATCAAACACAATCATTACGTAACCCCATTTTAATGCAGGCTGGAAAGACAAAGGGCACCACCAACCACCCCTAAAATATGAAATATGACTATCCCAGCAAATCCATGAATTTAATAAATACTGTTGATAACTTTTTCAACTTCTTGTCAGTTGGGATAGCTGATATACATCATGACATTCAAAACATTGGCCCTGAAAGGTTTGTGCATCCTTTTTATGAAGATGCAAACTACAGGTCCTGACATGCAAACTCAATTTTGAGCTGGGCTTTCCTTTCCTTTTTTTTTTTAAATAAGAACCCCTGCTACCTGAATTAAACCAACAACAAATTCAAGGCAAGCAGTGAGTTCTTCAAATCCAACTGCTTCTTCTTATAATGTCACTCCACATTAGAATTAAGGGGTCTGGAGAGGATTATGATTTCAGTTGAGACATAAGCATTAAGATATACTAAAATCAACTATCCAGAGGTACAAGAGTGCTGTTTCAAATCCCACTGGCATCACTTAGCAAGGAAAAAATAAATGGAAGAGCAGACACATAACTAGCTCACAAAATCCCTGCAAGAAGTATGAGAAAAGTGTTAAAGTGACAGTAACTTAACAAAATCATTTAAAGTATAAAAATGACACGCAGGATGTGTTTTGCTTCCTCACAATAGATAAATAAGGACTTGACACTGCTATTGCAATATGTTAATTATCTTACAAATTAGATCCCCATCAATTTTAAGGGCTTTAATGATATAAAGAAATTATGACATCATAAGAGAATGTTAAGTACTTAAGTGACAAAAAGAAATAAATTTCAGTCATATTTTTTAAAATGCTTTCTAATCAATCATAATTAACTGAGTCAAGAAAAAGATACCTCTGTTAAAGACTCAGTATCCCCACTCTTTCAATTAAATGGAGAGGATTTCACAGGATGCAGCCTTCAAGACCACCAAGAGGTCTTCTGGCAAACACAGAGAATACCAGTGATGAGATGCTTGCTGCTTTCAAGACAAGAAAAATAAGCAGGAAAGAGTCACCATCCCCATCTTTTCTGCCTTTCTTTATACAAAGAAAAGTTCAGACACTATTTTCCACTCAATCCCTTGCAGGTCATCTTTAAGCACACAGCTCCATTCTGGGTATCTGAATTCCTCTGAATTCCAAACACTCTCTGTTTATTTGGGTTACTACCACTGACTAGCATTTTCATGTGTTTTTTTTTAAATTGCCATTGCTCTTACTGCTCAGTTAAAAAAGCCAATGAGATTATTATTGTCACTATATAATCCCCTAAATATAAAACCCAATGAACTAGACCCTGTAATTTGCAGCTGAGTCAAACATTGCAGGAAACCATCAGGATGAATTTATAGCACTTAACACACTGCAATTCATGCTAATTTAAGAACTGTTCTTTATATCACAGTTCTTGAATGTTCAATAATACCCCAAAAGCAACAACTTTGTATCAGATTCCATGACATATGTGAAATAAAATCCTGTTGATACTTCTCAAAACACGAATTGCTTTGTAGGAACAGTGAAAAAATAAATCTAGTGGCTTGTCATGGGATCAATTTTCTAATACAAACACTTGAACAGTAAAGTCCAAGTACATGAAAACTTGTATGTGTCACAATTTAGAGAAGGAGATAATAGTGCCACCTACTATGGAAAACTGCCTAACATACTCCACGTTAATATCTTGTCTTTGGGTGCTTACAAGTTTCACCAAGTTTTAAGTGTCTGGGATGAAATTTCCAATGCCAAGTGCTTGCTCAAGAGGAACATTTGAAAAACTTCAGCAAAAACCATTCAGCTGGTTCTAAGGCTAAGGAGTAAAAAGAGTTTAGCATAAGCAGAAATGGTTTGGTGTCCCTTCCCTTGAAAAGCTCTAACTAATTCTTGGAAAACTGCAGCTTTACATGCTTTATTCTCCTCTTGCCTTCTATTTTTGCTGCTAATGCTTCTGGATATTTAATTCTTAAGGACAGATTGTTCCAATTTCTGAAATAGCAGGTGCTACTTAAGGTTTTCTGTACCATCAGGAGGTAAAGGCAAAGCACACAGGCTACGAGACTCCACAGCGATGCTGCAATGACTGTTCCAGGGGAAAGAGTTTAATTTGTCTTTTTGTAAGCTGTTTTTTACAAGGAAATAAAAGTCATAAACTCACAGGGGTGAGGTAAAAGAAAAAAAACATTAAAAAATGAGGATTCTACAAGACAGACTGGAAGGGACAAAAAGCAGCTCCTGAAAACTATTGGAAACTGTGACTGCCTGTTAAAGGACACTAGACAGGATAGGAATCAGAAGAGAACAGATGACTGTAGGTGGATAAATGAACCAGATGAAGACTTGAAGTCAGAAACAGGACAGAAGATGGAACTGGCAGTTCCATCCATCTTCAGTGAAAGAAAAGAGTAATAGATGACAAAAAAAGCCAGGCTCTCAACAAGGATCCTTGAGGAAGGAAACTAAGGAAAGAGAACAGGAATGGAGGCTGGTGGCAGCAAGAAGCCAGCACAGGCAAAGGAAGATAGATGAGCAAAGAATGTTCACAGCAATAGGGTAGCTTTAGTCAAGCAGGAATGAAAGCCAGGAGGGTCTGGTACTCCCTAAAACACACTTCCCTCCCAGAACCTGGAGAAGAAGCTAAGATTCCTCTCTTGGCCCTCCCCTGCTTTTAACAAATGACTGAAACAGGCCAGGTAGAGTTCATGTCTTGTCGGAGGCAGTTCACAGGAAACATGCCACTACTGCTGTCCATGGCAGCTCAAGTGGTGCTTTGCATGGGAGATCTGAGCCCCACAGAAAAACACCAGGGGTGACAGAACACTTGTACATAATGGAATTTTAGTCTTTTCAAGTTTGGTCTTTTACAGATCTGAGAAAACACACACAAATTTCAACAAGTCATGTAGGAAGAGTTATGCTGCAAAGTTAAGCACGCTAACATAAAAAACAAGCAAAATAAGAATGCATGTACAATCTGATGTGTTTATATTTGAAAAGGGCCCTCAGATAATCTTGTTTATCCTCACAGACCTCCTCACCCCCACCCTGTGTGCTCAGAGCTCACATGCTGGGAAGCTCTATGATGTTTAACCACAGACCCATTAGTTTACAACTCCTGAATGCTCAACTCTCCGCTGTAGCAATGCTCTTGACAATGTTTTATGTGCCATTAGCACTTAGATTGCCTTTTCAAAAACAGGGGAGTTAGATCTGTTTGAGAGTCCAAGTACTAAATGCTTTCAGCCCTACTAACCTTACACGTTGCTCCAGAAAAATCTTCATGCAGAGCCTAAGAAGTTTTCTTTAAAAAATGTATTTCCTCTGCTTTCAGACAACTGTTGGCTTGCATTTCACTCCTCTCTCAAACAGACTGAAGCTGCATTTTCTTACTTGTATTCCAGTAATGCCTCTGAGCTTTAATCAAGGATGAGGTCCCATTAAGCTGCCAATAGTCAAGGCTCAGCATTTTAACAGATATCATTAACAGAAAATGAGAGGTATGGTGTGGGAACAACTGTGTGGTATTTAGTACTTTTAGCATATAAGTAAAATGGGTATAATAGCCCTGCTCTGCCTTACAGCAGTGTTGTGAGAACAGACACATTAAAGATTACAAGGCACTAACTAAGATATTATGGTAAAATGGACAAGATAAGCATCTAATCAGCTCCTTGAAATCAGTGGGAGTTTTGTCTAGCAAAAGGCTCCTGGATGTGATTTCAGAAGAGTAAATCACTACATACTATGAGAGGGGAGAATTTCTGGAAGTGCTTGTTACCCACCTAGTGCCGGTCTCTACAGTCAGTGTAAAATTCCCAGCTATAATCTGGCTGATGCTTAGTGCTCTTGAAAAACCTAACGGTTTTAATGCTCATATGTAACAAAAATTCAGGGTTTCATCCAAAACTCACTGAAGTCACCTGGAGCTTTTCCCTTAACTCTTGTGAGCTTTGGATCACAGCCTGCAAGATTACACGAGTCTAATACTTAATTCTGAGCTGGAAAAAACCAAGTCACACCCTCACCAGGGAATCTGAGGAAAAATAGGGTATCTGTGTCTTTTTTATTTCTTTTGCTCTGGGACTGATAACTAAACATATCATACATACCAGTGGTTTCTCTGTAATTTATTAATAAATATGTATTCCTTCCTACATACCTGGCTTTTTTTTCCCTTTCTGTCCTGGTACCCCTTCTGTTGGTTCATGAGCTTTCTTCATTAACATGGAGAGAGAGGCATCATGTGTTCGAAAGAGATCCACAACTTTGTATAAATCAACATCTGTGATCAGATCGCAGCTCAACACCAAGACATCAGTCTGTCAAAGAAGAAAAAAAAAAACCATCAAACCTTTCAGAGATACAAATTACCACATATGGACTAGCATTTGAACACCCAAAACCAAATACACACTTTAACCTTTTTCTTACTTTTTTAATTTACCACTGCCAAAACCAGTTCCTGGTTTTTACCAGTGTGCTTTTCCTGAGTCCTGCTGTTACTGTTGTTTGGTTAATGCTTATCCAGATCTGCACCATATACAATATGTGACCATCTGAATTGTCTTCATCTGCTCCTAAGGACACAGAAGCCATGGCTTTCAAAACTAGCAAGAAATTCTACAGTTATTTCAACAGCTACTTTTAGTTATATAATGAGGTAGAAAAAAAAGAGTTCTTTCTAAAGAACTCTTTTTAGCTGACTTTGCATCTGGCAACAAAGTGCTGGAAAAGATATTTAAACTATGTTATTTTATTGGGGGACAAAAAAAAACAAAGACTATCTAGGATGTGATTTACTCAGTAATTGCACTGCGATGGTGGGCTCAGTTGAGAAATACATTTCCTAAAACCAGCAATACTCCATATTATAAGGAAAAAAACCAAAAAAGGATGTTAGGTCCTATTTAATAGGAGGCTTGTACTTTATTTTGATCTCAAAGGATTCCAAAATCCCTTATGCAGTTTTTAAGAGAACTGCTGCACAACTCACAGGAACATTGTCACATATTGAGCAAGACACAGCAGCTTCATTAACAGCGGACACTATCAATATAATCCACCCAAAAACTCTTATTTAGAAAAAATTTTCTGTATTTCATGTAGGTTCTGAGATAAGCTGTCAAAAACCTATGAGTTCAGCAATTAACTTAATTTAAACTAATCCTAACATAATATTTGTGCATAATATTTGGCTGACACAAAAGTAGCAAATTTCCACTTTTTGTTAACGATCAACCTTCTAATGGCCTCTCCAGAAGACAGTGTTTCTTTTCTGATAGTTACCATTTTCACTTTCTCTGCTGCCATTTTCCATACTAAGCCTCCCTGCAGTGTGACATGGCTGCCTAATTTTATCTTTTTAAAATACAATATTTAATGAGAAGGGCATTAGACAATACTTAGAAAAAACCTGAGTTAATCCATGGAGGATCGATCAGTAATTCTACTCTTACTTTTGAAAACTATCTTGGTTTAAAGCAAATTGTTTCAGGATTGACCTCTCATTCCAGAAAAGTTTATTAAAAAAAAAGCTTGCTTTTTTATCTAACATGAGGAGATTCCACATTGTAATTGAGATTAGCTGAGGTCTGGTATTTACATTATTTGACAGGTTCTCCTAAAACTGCTAGGCAGTTTCATGTGTTTACCAATAAGGTGTTGGAATTCATCATGTCACAAACTGTTGGAGATGCTGATTTGGCATGCTGTGCAAAAGGTCAAGCTCTTCCATTTTCAAGTGATTTGAACCCACTTTACTGAGAAACACCTGGCTGCTTTACAGGAAGGAACAATCTGCAAGTTGAGAATTTTACACATTCAAAACCTGACTTGCATCACTTCTTTTAACATATTTTCAAAACGTGTATTTTATATTACAGTTTTGCCCAAGGAAAGTGTTTTAATTAGCACTTCTCTAAAAAAACCCAACATGCACACATTGGAAAAAGCCCCAACAACCCAAACCACTAAAGCGAGTTGCCCAGCACTCTGGAGCAGCCCTGCTCCAACATTCCAGAGTGCACAAAGAAAATAAGAAAAAAATTCAGCTTGGTGTGGAAGCAAATCTCCCGCTTCACAACTGTAAACTGTGAAGAAACACATATTAAATATCCTGGAAAATCCTGCAAAATTTTCAGATATTCTGTTTTTACAAGAGCACGAATGAATAACAACGTTTACAGAAAAGACCAAAAGGTATTCAAGACCCATATAAATAGACCTGTACTTTTCAAACTCATTTTTAAAGAAAGAAGAGATTGCCAGCTTCAAATCTAGCTGCATTTGCTCCAATGGTGAAAATAAGAAATAATCAAATGGGAGAGACTGACACCCCAATAGTCTTATACTAAGGAACGACTATCTGGACTTGTAAAACAAACCTTGTAATTATTTCACATTTTACTAAATGCTTTAATCTGTCACTAATGCAAAAACCCAACAAGCATTTCATAGTTCTGACCAGGCTCCTGGGTTTTTTCTCCTCCCTATAGGACAAGCTTTTTGCAAAAACTGAATGCAAGACCCCTGAGGAGCATACGGGAACAGAACCACCAAATGTCTGGTTGCCATCTGTTCTACCCATTTACTCTCCCAATATGTAAATAAACGTCAGTGAGCGCAGGGACCAGTGAAACACACAGTTGCTCTGTAAAGCCCACATTTCTGCCTCTCCTCCTGATGAGCAGAGCAGTGGCCTCAGAAGCACGCTGAGAATACACCATGAAAGGCTCTTTTGGGACTTGACAGCTTCCCCTTTGAAACACCACCCCCCTCATAAATAAAGCCCTCACTGTCTAATGGATGCACTTTTTTTTCCAGTGTACAACTCCTGAACGAATAAACTAATGGCTGAATGAAAAAATAAACTATCCTAGAACCTTAGCAGAAGTGTGTGTTTTTCTTTACGTTTTCGAGGTGGGTGTATAAGAAAGAAAATAAATGGTAGAACTTGTGGGTTTTTTACATATATACACACCAAATAAATGCAGTGCACCTTTCCCAATGAGCCACTGATACAAAGAAGAGAAGTACATACTTAGTACATGCACTCACGCGCTAACAAGGGGTATGTGAACATACTTGACTTCATGAATTATGCAAACGCCTAATGCACGCACATCTCTTAATGAAATACATGTAACAATGATTACATCAACCCCAAACTATTATACAGACGATAAGAATCAACACAAACTGATTAAAAAAACCCCAGCAAGCACACACCTCAAGCAGAACAACTGCAAAGGAAAAAATGCACTCACAAACGCACTCTCCACGTGCATTACAACCACAGGCAGGGCAAGGCTAAGGTCTTAAATCAAGAAGGGCCATCTAATGGCTCGAGCAGGAGACAAATACTTGGAATACCTGGTATCTTCCTGCTCTGCCAAACTTGACACACTTTGTGTGCCATTTTGTTTCTACTACTTTTATGACAAAGAGCAGGTCTCATCATAGACCAGGGCTCTGCCACAGCAGCTGCTATACAGAGCAGGTGAAAAGGCCACCAAGCATAGGAGAGCAGCAAATGAGTTTGGGTGGAAGAACACAGGAAAACACTGCATTGCTACTCTCAGGGACAGCAGCCCTGCCCTCCTGGTAGCACAGCTCATGTTTTTGTGAGCATCACAAGAGCCACAGCAAACACAAGGAGAATAAAATGCTCATTGGAAGTGTTAACTTGGGCCTTAGCAATCCCTTTTAACCTCAGATTTGCAATTTATTCACTCAAATGAAAAACTGAGACTAAGCTACTGACCAGTGGAGAAAATTGGGATTCTGCAGATATCATTCCACCTATGATCCAAGTTTCAAGAAGATCCTTCTGCATCCCTACTGACTTAATGAATTATTGTAGCTCTGGCCTTGGAGTCCAACCATCCCTGAATACAGAGTATTCAGTTAAGTCACGTATGAAAACATGGCACAAAGGTCCCCACTTCTCCATTCTACCTTTCTAATACTGGCTAACAGCACGTCACCATCAAATGTTATAAACTGTGAAATGGTCATATATGAAATAAGTTCAATACTTGATCCAGATAAATAAAACAGGGTAACATAAAACATGAAGAGATTTATACAAAACAGAGAAAACAGTAAGGAAAAAACACTGAAAACCAGTATGTCAACAACTATATTAAACCCAGCACAATATGGAAAACATATACAAAAACAAGGCCAAAAAGCAGATTGTTTTAAGAACTCGGATCAAGACAGCCGATTTAAAAATAGAAAACATGTTTTCAATGGACCTAATTCATACCACAGATCAAAAGATGGATGCAATTATATGGTGTAATATACCAGCATAAATAAAAAGCCTTGGACTTTCTCACACCCTGCATACAAAGGCAATGCTAAAAACCCTTTTATATTCAGCAATTATTGCTGAAGCCCTTATGATCAAACAGGAGATGTCAAGGTTACCACAGATAGCTGGCAGCAAATTATGAATTTTTAGTGGTATTTACTATGCTTTTTCTATCAAGTATAGACAAGGGCAGGACCTCACAGCCTAAACTGCTGATGGCCTCAAAAACAGCAGACTAGAAAATGAGAAAACATGTGTTGCAAGGAAACTGTAATATGAACAAAATCAGCCTCAAGAGAAAGAGGAAAACAAATGTCAGATTGCATTATAAACAGAAAAGAAGCAAAACATCCACAAGCAGTAGAACCAGCTTCTTAACAGAACTGAAAACAGACAAAACACTGAAGCTAAATGTTAAAAGTTTCTAATTGCAAAGTATTACAGCTGAGACTTTGACAGGAAAAGAAAGAAAATCAAGAGATTAGATATTCTCAACCTAAGTTAATACATGCACAAACAGAGAACTTTGCATCACTTCCTGCGGTGTCACCAAACAACAGGGGAGAGAGAGAGGAACAAGTTATAATTACTGCTGGAATTAGGACTGAGTTTTATACACAATAGCCTGGAACTTCACCCACATGTTGCATTAACAGTGGGGTTTGTGTGTAATGCTTTTTATTATTCTAAAGAGTGGAAAGGGAAAAAACAGTTTGGCTGTGGGCAAGCATTTTGATTGCTTGTTAGCATTCTCCAGGCAAAGTCAAAGATACCTCCCAGCAATTGCATTACTCACCACTCTTCAGATCAGAAACTTACATCCAAGGCTTTAAATAATCCCTTTTTATCTCAGTCTCCATTAAGAGACCTCCAATTTCCACACCTGTGACCTCTTTGAAGCTCTATGGCTGTTGCTGCAACTGGAGCAGGGAACCTCATTTATTTTTTGATGTCTGTAAGATCTTGTTAGCTACCAACTGAACTGGCCGCCTTTGGCTGGGA